CTGGTCGGATAGATACTGGTGGAACCTCTGAAACTAAGGCCCGTAGTCACCCTTCAGGTCTTGAAATGAGCTCACCCCCATGACTCAATTTTCTGCCAAATAATAAAGAAGTCTACTGTTGTTGTTGTGTGCTCTCAAGTCAGTTTACAACTCATAGTGACCCTGTATAGGATTTCCAAGTTTGTAAATCTCTTGAGGAGCAGAGAGTCTTACTCTTCTCCCATGGAGCAGCTGGTGGATTCAAACCGCTCATGTGGGTAACAGTCCAATGTGAGACCCACTATATGACCAGAGTGAACAATAACACTGAGGAGATGTAAACACCTTAGAACAATCAACCATTTGAGATCAAAAAGGCTAGAAACAGGAAACACAGGGACAAAGTAGAGTAAGAGATGTTTCATTGTGGGTTTGCAGTCAATGAGATGAAACAAAATGTGTATGAACTGTTGAGTGCAAAACTGATGTGCTCTGCAAACCTTCACCCAATTCACAATAAAAAGGGGGGGAGGGGAGTAGTAGATTTTGTGTTTTTACTTGAAGTTTCTTTATAATCAATGTCAGGCCCTTGGCAACTTTAATCTCATGACACAAATTTGGACATGATGAACTAGATTATCTCCAAGGTTCTATTGGCTTTAAAATTGGTATCATGCTTGTAATTTACAAGCATCTTTCTTTTGTGCACTAGATTACATGACTTTTTTGGAAATTTAACTAAGATACATTCCTCATTTATATGGCAACTGATTTGGTTTCTCATGTTCACTATTCTATTTGAAAGGCTATCTCTATGATTTTCCCAAATAAATATAATGTTCATACCACCGAGGTAGTGTCATCTTCTGTTAATAAAATTTCATAAATCAAACACCTCGCTGGAATGGGTCCTCTGGGCATGCTCCATTGCAAAATAATTTCATTTGCATTCTTCTTAGTAAGACTAAGGTAGTCTGGTGACAAAGGTTTAACTGAAAAGCAAAAGGAGAAAATGTCAACATGAAGGTTGTTGACATTTAACAGTAGCCCTTATTGAAAGCTGTAGACACCTAGTACCAGAAGCCTTGGGGGATAAAATAAGTGGCTCACAACTATTCCTTATTCTGGGAATTGAAATAAAATTTACTTGGCAACAGATAAATTTAGTGAGAGACTTGTTTATCTTGGAAACTCATTTTTTGATAAGTCACATACTGACAAATATCAGAGTCAAAATTAAGAAGACTGAAATAATTACAATCTCTTTTTCCATTTTGTAGCATGAAGAACTACAGCTGAGAACTATGAGTACTTTTATTAATATTGTTGCTAGTTTCCATCAAGTCAATTTCAGCTCATGGCAATTCCATGTGTGCAAAGGACTGCTCCATAGGGTTTTCAAAGCTGTGACCTTTTGGAAGCAGACCACCAGGCCTGTCTTTTGAGGCACCTTTGGGTGGGTTCAAACTGCCTGCTTATCTACTATGAGATGAGTACTTAAGTATTTCCACCATGCAGGAATATCATAGCTGATTAACTTAGTGCTTACAATATGTCAAGCATGTTAATTTAGTTCATATAATGTGTCAAGGATGTTACATCATAATTGTATTCATGTCTCACAACAAATCCTCAATTTACTTATAAGGACATTGAAACAGCGATGTTAAGTAACTTGCCAAAAGTTATACACCTAGAAAGTGGTATAGTTCTGGTTGACTCTAGATCCTATTGCTCTTGCAGTTCTTAGACCTGAGAACACAGACTCCAAAATGATGTAGCCAACTGTCTTTTATGTTGTTTTTGGGTGCCATCGAATTGATACTGACTCATCGCGACCCTATGCACAACAGAATGAAACACTGCCCAGTCCTAGACAACCTCATAATCATTGCAACATTTGAGCCCACTGCTGCTGCAATTGCATCAGTCCATGTCATTGGGGGTCTTCCTCTTTTCCATTTTACTAAACATGATATCCTTCTCCAGGGACTGGTCCTTCCTGACAATATGTCTGAAGTATGAGAAACGAAGTCTGGCCATCTTGGCTTCCAAGGAACATTCTGGCTGTACTTTTATGGGTTGGTGATATATATTTCTAGGAGTGCTGGTGTGGCACTGCGAGTTAATGTGCTGGACCACAAGACCGGTTTGAACCGCAAGGTTGGCAGTTGAAACCCACCAGCCACTCCTTGGAAACTCTATAGGGTTTCTATGAATCAAAACCGACTCTATAGCACTTAACAACAATATATATTTCTTGGAGCACGGTGCCTGTGTAGGATAAGCACTGAACTGCTAATCACAAGGTTGTCAGTTAGAGCCCACCAGCAGCTCTACAAGTAAAAGATGATATTTTCTGCTCCCATAACAATTACAGCCTTGGAACGCTATACAGGTTTGCTATGAGTCAGAATCGACTGGACGACACTTAACAAAAACAACAATATATATTTCCACAATGTTGTTGTTGTTAAGTGCTGACGAGTCCGTTCTGACCCATAGCGACCCTATATAGGGTTTCCGAGGAGGGACTGGTGAGTTTGAACTACCAACCTTGCAGATGAAACTGACTTTGCAGTCCAGAGCATTAACCCTCAGTGCCACACCAGGACTCCATAGCAGGCCAGTTTTACTGAAGCTAGGAGATTGTATGTGTTCGATGAAAATGGCATTTTATCTTTCATTTAGTTCCTTCTCTTTCAGACTTTAATATTTAATAAGAACTTCCCATTACACTCTATTGACCCTAATTTTCCTGGATTTGCGTTTCCTTAAGGAGACTCAGCAGTGCTGCAGGATAAGCACTGGACCGCTATCCGCAAGGAGAAAGAGGAGACTTTCTGCTCCCATGAAGATTTACAGCCTCAAAAACCCTATACAGAGTCTCCATGAGTTGAAATGAACTTGATGCCAGTGGGTCTGGTTTTGATTTGGCTCATTTCCTTAGTGTCTTTCATTTTCTTTCTCTCTCTCTCTCTTTCTGCCTTGCTCTCCCTCTCCTGTAATTGTAAGCCTAAAGAAGAAACTGTGTATTTTGAGTTGTTTCTATCACCTATATTTTGAAGATGAAAAATGAAATAGCTGGATCTGATAGCCATGGATTCAGATGACCCATTTACACAGATATAGAAATCTTTATAGTCTGCTGACTTCAAGTCCGGAAACCTGCATCCAATATGTTTTTCATTAGTCTTCATGTATTCGGCACACTGTGTTGTTTCATCCAATCCCTCATACCTGCAAAAAGAAGTTTTTTGAGAATTGTATTTAACAGTGTCTTCTAGAATCCGGGTACTCTATTTTCATGTATATTCAGAAATCAAATGTTTTAAAAAATCATTGAATAAGAGACAACATTTTTTGAGCACCTATAAGGGGTCGCTATGAGTCGGAACCAACTCCATGACACTTAACAACAACAACATGATGTATTAAGTGCTAGGGACACAAAAGTAAGAATAACAAACAGCCCATGACTTGTTGGTTGTTGTTGTTGTCAAGTGCCCTCAAGTCCATTCCAACCCTGTATAGGCTTTCCAAATCTACCTTGCAGTCTAAGGCATTAACACACAGTGCCACACCAGGATTCCCCATGACTTGTAGAGCTTACATATTATAGGAATCTTCACAACAACTCAAAGACATGTTTGTAAATCAGAGCATAAGATGTCTGTTAAGGAAAGCCTGGGTTTCAACAAAGGATAGAGGATACTGCATGTTTTATATTGTATGGGGTAAACAGTTTTAGACAACAAAAGCAAATTTAAAGTTAAACTTACAAAATACTGTTAGGTTTAAAAAAAACCATCAAGATAAACTTCAGGCCAACAGAAAGGCAAAAAAAAAAAAAAAAGAAGAAAGAAAGAAAAGAATAAGTTGTTTGGCAAGTAAATGTCTAATTTCCTGTTCTCTCAGACAAGAAATGTTGACACAAGATTTAAAGTTAACCTCTTTCCAGTAAGAAAGCTTATAGGAATTAAGGGGGATTTCCCTACTGATTTACAAAACAACAAAATCCTGGTCTGTTTTCCTAATGAATAGTTTACAATGCAAAATGGAACTTTATCTGCTAAAAGCAGCCAGAATCCTCTTTGAAATGTGGCTAATACAGCAGCTGATAAGGTGCTGATACAAATATCCAGACTTTATTAAATTCACTTTTTATACAAAGTATTTAGGCAAAGTTTGCAAAATTGTAATCTCTTGGCTAGTTTACTTGATTAGAACTTGGAAGGCTTGAGGTCTATCTAGACTTGACTTTACAAAAATGTATTGTGTGACAGTGGGAAGCCTCATGGTACCATTATTTCGAAATCTCTAAAATGTGAATTCCCTTCACGTCATCATTAATGTTGTTGTGGTTCTTGTTAAATGCTGACCAGTTGGTTCCAATTTATAGGGTTTCAGAGGAGCAGCTGGTAAGTTTGAACCACTGATCTTATAGTTCAAACTGACCTTGAGGTCAAGTGCTTATCTTAAGGCACCACATATGACAATAAAATTATGTTATGTTAAACATGAATTGGATGGAAGGCATAAGAAGTATGGAAATTTGTCTTTCACACTTGTGTTCTTGTTATGTAGAACAGTGCCTGGCATTTGTTTGCTGTTGTTGAGTGCTGTCAAGTCGGTTCTGACTCAGAGTGACCCTGTATAGGGTTTCTGAGGAGCAGCTGGTGAGTTTGAACCCCTGACCTTGTGGTTCACAGTCCAGTGCTGATCTTACAGCTCCACACCAGGAGTCTAACAAACACATCAATTACATGCAAATGACCTTTCCGACTTTCCCCACCCAATTCCAGATGAGGATACTGAGACACCCCCCCCCCAAAGATTCAAAAAGGGGAACTATTCGCCCAAAGCTCCCCAATTAAAGATACAGAGACTAGAACCCAGTTCTCAGGGTTTCATTGTTTGAATATTATGATTTTCTGAAGGAAGAAGCCATGATAATTTGGGTACAAATACAAGTGGTAATAATTCCTTCTCTTTTTCATTTTCTGTTATGTAATACTCATATAAATTCTGCTACTTACCATGTTATCAATGTTTTCAGTATTTTTGTATACATTTAATGAATATTTAATTATAGCCTATTATGAAAACAATTAACCCTAGAGCAAGCACTGGACCTCAAGGTCGGTTTGAACCTCAAGGTCGGCGGTTCAAACTCACCAGACGCTCCTCAGAAACTCTATACAGGGTCTCTATGAGTCGGAATCGACTCAGTGGCACTTAACATAGCATTGTGTCCTTATAGGGTAGCTATGAGTTGGAATCTATTTGATGACAGTGAGTATGAGCATAGCACTGTGAAGGTTGTTGTTAAGTGCTTTCAAGTTGGTTCTAACTCATAGTGACCCTGTATAGAGTTTCCGAGGAGTGGCTGGTGAATCTGAACCGCCAACCTTGCAGTTCAAATCAACTTTTCTGTCCAGTGCATTATCCCACAGTGCTACACCAGAGCTCCACTATAAATATGTTGTTGTTAAGTGCCGTCGAGTCAGTTACGACCAATAGCGACCCTGTACAGGGTTTCCTAGGGTGTAAATCTTTACAGGAGTAGAAAGCCTCATCTTTCTCCCGCGGAGCAGCTGGTAGTTTCAAACCGCTGACCTTAAGGTTCGCAGCCCGATTTGTAACCACTACGATTTTTCTTGACTATAAACATAGTCAAGAAAAATATAAGAAACAGTTTGTGCCACCAAACTCTTAAAAATTGAAGAGAAGAAACTAAGAAACTGAGCACACATATATGAGAAAACTGTAAATACCATCTGGACAATAAATAAGAGGTATAATCCTTGAAGGATGTATGTTGTTGCTGTTGTTAAGTGCTGTTGCAGTTCTGAATCATAGTGACCCTGTATAGGGTTTCCGAGGAGCAACTGGTGGGTTTGAACCACCAATCTTGAGGTTAATAGTCCAGTGCTTATCTAGAGCACTACACCAGGATAGATAAGAGGTGGTAAAAGAGAGAGGGAATACAAGGGCATTCCAAATGGAAATGCACACAAAGGCATGAAAGACCTATTATATTCCCATTTGGTAACTGTAAAAAGCAATGTTGGAAAGTGAGGCTTGACCTCCAGCCTAGACTTTATCTTGGATTTAATGAGTAGCCTGGGACCTTGCAAAAGAGCGTCAAAACTTGATAAGCAATGGTACCATGAAGTAATTAAAAAATAAAGGTGAGAGAAGTGTCAGGCTCCATTGTTTACAAGTCTTGGTGACAGTTAGCAAAGGCAAGGAAGTCAGAAAAAGAACACCTGTTTCTGTCAAAGGCAAAAATATAAAACATGCCCAAACTTTTAAATGTATAACCTCATCTAGATATAGGATTTTTCAGTTACTGTTGAGTTGATTCCAACTCCTGATGACCCCACATGTGCCAGAGTAGAACTGTGCTCCATAAGGTTTTCAGTAGCTGCTTTTTCAGAAGTAGCTAGTGGAGCCTTTCTCCTGAGGTGCCTCCGAATAACTTGTATCTCTAACCTTTCAGTTAGCAGCTGAGCACATTAACCATCTGCACTCTCCAGGGACTCCATCAAAAGGATACAAAATTTAATCCTGGTAACTAGGACAGGAGAACACCTTCCAGGAGTTACAGCCTAAGCCCATTTACTCCCACTGAAAACCCCCAAGATTTATAAAAACCATCACTGATAAGCCAACTCTAAATAAGAAATTTAATTTAGTGACAATGCAGTTCCTTATACTGTGGATAAATTTTGATAGATTCTTTCTTAATATGAAATTCTAGTTCTAAAAATACTTACCAGTAAAATAAATAATAATTAGTATCAACAGGGACATCCACTCCAGGTTTCCAAGAGCAGAATAAATATTGCCAGTTGTAATATACACAATCCATATCCTGAACTTTGGTTTCCACATTTCCTAAGGAGTGAAAGAACTGTAAATGTTTGAAAGGCAGGATAATGAATAATTTGGGAAGTCATTATGCAATTTTATTTCCATTTCCTTTGACCTCTCCATTTCATTTAGCAATCAACATAATCAGGGGTGTTTCAAATGGATGTTGCTAGAAATCATTTCACTATATAAGTGGCAAATGTAGTATCACAAACCTTTGAGGACTCATTTACTGACTAGTGTAAACATATTCAAAAGTATTAGTAATTATAGAATGCTCTGAGCAGTTAAGCAAATACTTATATACAAGTTTACTAATATGACTCAACAGCTAGGAATGGTATTAATCTAATAAGATGTAGACTTTACAGAACCCATTTGCTGATCTAAAGAATTTTTAAAAAGCCAGTCACTAACAGCAACAAGATTCACTCACTTTTAAGATTGTTGTTGTTGTTAAGTGCCATCGATTCCGACTCATAGTGACCCTGTATAGGGTTTCTGATGAGCGGCTGGTGAATTTGAACCGACCTTGTGGTCTAGTACATTATTCCACAGTACCACACCAGGACTCCTAAGATTGATACCATTGTATACCACACTGTCATAGAATCTGCTGTAGGTACACTCTGATTCACAAGAGTTAAGGAACTTATTCCCTGCATGAATTGAACTTCTTCCCTGTATGAATTGTTCTAATTATACAAAATATGAAGAGAAAACTTCCTGAACCTTTTGGTGGTATCCAGTAAGTAGCTTCTGACCATGAACTTTGAATCTCTGGTCCATTTGTGCATTGTTGTGGCAGAATTGTGTGTATCTTTGCTTCAATGCCTTTGTTAAGATCAAGCCCATCTTTGTAATATAGCTTCTTAGTAATAATGGTCTGTTTGATAAAAAGATGAGACAAAGTCAAGCTTAGAAACAGTCATGGATGATGAACCACATTAATAAAGCTAAAAAGGCATTAATACTGTGGAGGGTACCCAATATCCTAGACACCCTTGATTATCTGATACAATGTCCCAGATATATTTCTGGCAGAGTTTACCTCCACATATCATATAATTTCATAAGGTAATTGGAAGTGTAACCTCTCATTAAGAAGGAAAAAAAAAATCACATAAACCTCTGCAAGGGAAAAAAAAAAGCTTCATGGACAGGAAGCAACTGGAAATCAAATAGATGATTTTCACATACTATGGTGTAGCACTATAGGATAAGTACTGGACTGCTAACCACAATGTTGGTGGCTCAAACCCACCACAGGGTCTCTGTGAGTCAGAACCAACTCAAGTGCACTTAGCAACAACAACAACAACATATGTGTATTAAGGAGCCCCAGTGGCACTTTAGGAAAAGCACTGGATTGCTAACTGCAAAGTCAGCAGTTCAAACCCACCTGCCGCTCTGGGGAGAAAGATGAGGTTATCTTCTCACATTAAGATTTACAGCCTTGGAAACTATACAACGGCAGTGGGTTTGTATATGCATAATAAAGTCTCTTGGTGGCATGGTAGGATAAACACTAGACTGGTAACCATGTATGTTGTTGTTGTTGTTAAGTGCTGTCAAGTCCTTTCTGACTCATTGAGACTCTGTAGAGGGTTTCCGGGGAGCAGTTGGTGAGTTTGAACAGCTGACCTTGTGGTTCACAGTCCAGTGCTGATCCACAGAACCATACGGACAACCATAAGGTAACCCTATACAGGTTCACTATGAATCAGAATCCACTTGACAGTAATGGGTTGGCATAGGCATATTATTTGCCAATGATGTACAATTTTTCAAATCTAATATGAAATCTTCAGAAATCACATAAAATAAAAACTTGGAGGTAAATGGAGTTGGTTGATGCCAGAGAAAACTAGAGAAACTGTGAACCCCTGGTGAACTAAAATCATGTGTTTTTATCCCATTATCTAAATGCCTAGCAGAATCCCTGGCATAAAACTTGCTCAACATAAATGTTTTATTTAAGCTGTTTCTTGAAACAGAACAGAATTTAGAGAGGTAGCAGAGTTCTTTGCATCACAGAAATCTTTAAATTAGCATGCCTATTGAGTATGTACATTCATATTCAATAAGCTTGCTTTGAACACTTAGGAGTATATGCAAAGCATCATGCTATATATGGTAGGGGGTCATGGTGGTACAAAGATGAAAAAGACTTCACTCTGATTCAGAAAAAGCTTACAGCTCAGTAGCATGTATCCTATTGTTGTAGTTAAGTGCCATCAAGTCGGTTCCGACATATAGTCACCCTGGATAGGGTTTTCGAGGAGCGGCTGGTGGATTTGAACTGCCAACCTTCCGGTTATCAGTCTGGTGCTTATCTTACAGTGCCACATCAAGACTCCAGCATATATACTGTGTTGTTGTTGTGTTATGTGCCATCAAGTTGGTTCCTACCCATAAAGACCATGTATAGGGTGTCCGAGGAGTAGCTGGTGAGCTTGAGCTGCCAACCTAGCAGTTCAAACTGACCTTGCAGCCCAGAACATTAACCCACATCAGCTCCACACCAGGACTCAGCATATATAAGACATATATAAAAATAACTGTAAACTGTTGCAAAATATATAAGTACTCTTCAAGTCTGTATTCCATGGGACAAAGTTTTTATCTTCTCTTCCAATGGTATTCTTCTCTCTGGGTGGAGTGATAGAAGTTGTGGCAGGATGCTCTAGAAAGAGCAGCAGGCATTGAAGCTTATTATGCCCTAATGACAGTCATTCAAATATGGGAATTGCAGTATACACTAAAGGCAGGAAATACCAGAAAACTCCTAACAATCACTCTGATACTCCAAGTGCATGCTTTGCTTACCTTCCAACTTTCGCTTTCAAAGTTTCGGTATTTTAATCCGTATTCTACTGTACAGTTCTTAAAATTATCCAGAGACAGTGGAGGTTTCCATTGCAAAGACATATAGCCTAAGTATCCAGGATCTACGATTTCAAAATCCTGAGGAGGATTAACTGAAATAAAATAAAATATTTTCTTCTTGTGTTTTATGACAAGCTGTTAAATCAAGATTACTTCCAATTGCCCAACTGATGAATGGATAAATCAAATGTGGTATATTCATTCAAATCTTGGAATGTTATTTGACTGTATAAATGAGTCAAGTACTGATACATGCTACAGCATGGATGAACCTTGAAAACAGTATGTTAAGTGCCACACACAGAGGGTCACATATTGTAGGATTCCTCTGATATGAAATGTCCACAAAGGGTAAATCCACAAAGACAAAAGGTTGATTTCTGGTTGTCATAAACTGAAGAGGGGATGGGGGAGTGACTACTACTATGTACAGGGTTATATAAGTGTTATATAAGGGTTATATAAGTGTCTACTACTATGTACAGGGTTATGTAGTTAGTTTCACCTCATAACAACCCCTTATAGGGTTTCCACAAGGTCGGCACAGCAGCTCAAACTCACCAGCCGCTCCTCAGGAACCCTATACAAGGTCGTTAACAGTCAGAACCAACTCGATGGCTCTTAACAACAACAACTTAACTCCCAAACATTTTCTTCACTCCTAAATTTAACCCTGTACACATTAGTAGTCACTCTCCATTCCCCCTTCAGCTTCTGACTACCACTAATCTACTTTTTGTCTTCATGGATTTGTCTCTTGTGGACATTTCCTATAAGTATAATCACACATTACTGAACAACTTTGTAAATATTCTCCACTGGATACCATACTCTAAATGAATTCATTTTATGACATGTGAATTAAATTTCAATAAAGCTGTTAAAAATCTGAATTGTTGTTGTTGAGTGCTGTTGAGTTGGTTCCAACTCATAGTGACTCTACATAGGGTTAGGAGAAGCAACTGGTAGACTGCGAAACACATGGTCAGTAGTTAAAACCCACCAACTGTTCCTGGGAAACCAGGTTGCTATGAATCAGAACTGACTTGATGGCACTTAACAACAACATATATTCATACATATATTTGATACTTCTATAAATTTCCTACAGCAAATCTAAAAGTACTGCCCTCATATTAACTTTTTGCTAGCAATTTTCCTGTTACTGCTACTGGTTTATTCTTTTTAGTACTTATTTCACTTTATAATACTTATTGAGGTGAGAGAACGAACCATTGAGGATAAAATGACAATTCCATATGGTTAGAAATCTTTGTCAAATGCATTGCTCTGACCTTTTGCAATAATAATAATAATAATAATAATAATAATAATAAAATCACATTCAAAACCAACCATTGAGTCAATTCAGACTCATAGCAACCTTGTAAGGACAGAGTTGAACTGTCCTATGAGGTTTTCAAGAGTCCTGGTGTGGCCTTCTGGGTTAATGCACTGAACTGCAAGGTCAGTTTGACCTGCAAAGTTGGCAGTTCAATTTCACCAGATGCTCCTCGAAAACCCTATGCAGGGTCACTGTGGGTTGAAACCAACTTGATGGCACTTAACAATAACAACCACAACAAATCCTTATGGAAATAGACTTGTAGGTTTGAACTGTTTTAACCGCTGCATCACCAGGGTTAATTGAAAAGCACATTAGGTATGATTTCTGGTAAGGCAGTGGTTACGAATCAGGCTGTGAACCTTAAGGTCAGCAGTTCGAAACTACCAGCCGCTCCGTGGGAGAAAGATGAGGCTTTCTGCTCCCGTAAAGATTTACAGTCTTGGAAACCCTGTACAGGGTTGCTATGGGTCGGAACCAATTCGACGGCACTTAACAACAACAACAATAATTCTATAGTTATTTAAAATATTTTTAAATCTGCCATATTTTTTTCCTTTTACTTGGTTGTTGTTGTTATGTGCCATGGAGTTGGTTCCGACTCATAGCGACCCTGTACAGGGTTTCCGAGGCTATAAATCTTTATGGGAGCAGAAATCCTCATCTTTCTCCCGTGGAACAGCTGGTAGTTTCGAATTGCTGACCCTGAGGTTCGCAGCCCGATTCGTAACCACTACGCTACCAGAGCTCCTTTTAGACTGGTTGAAAATAGAGGACTCCTAGAGACTATCACCCTGAGATACTCTTTAAACCTTACCCCAAAATTATTCCTTGAGGTCACCTTTTAGGTAGATAAGAGATTGGCTTATAAAATAAAAAATAAAAAAATCACCTGAGAGTAATGAGCCTCTTTTAAAAGTCATCTATATGAGATCAAATGACACATTGTGAAAAATGTAACCAATATCACTGAATAATTTGTGCAGAAATTGTTAAATGGGAACCTCATTCAGTGTGTAAAACTTTCACCTTAGACACAATAAAATGTTATATATTTTTAGAAGAGCAAAGGTAGTCATTAAGGAAACATTATAGCCACTTGGGTGCCAGGCCATGAGGTTTCAGATATTCGACTTATTTGCTAGAAAGGACTATACAAAAGTGTACAAAAAGTGTCTTTTGGTTTTATCCCACAAAATGTTTTCATCAGCAGCTACCTTAGAAATGAGGCTGACCAGAAAGAGCAAGCATTTCTGCATGGAATTCCTGAAATACTTAACTAACAACCCATTTACTGTGACACACTTTCACAAGGTAGGTTGAAAAGACAGTAAGTATCCTAATTTGAAAACTACTCCATCAAAATCTATTCAGTATGTTACTTTACCTTTTATCTCATTGGTTGAAGACAGAATGCAATTAAATGATGTGCAAATAAGAACGGTATATAGGCATTTGATATCCAGATGAATAAAAGCCATTTCTTCACGTTTTAATACTTTGAAATCTCCACCCTAAAAGGGAAAAATAGAACATTTGAATGTCACCTTAACCCAAATAATCAAATGATTCAATGTAATATTAAATATTTTTCAGAGTGCTCTGTGTTTTCTACTAATAATTGGAAAAACTCTGCTCCCTTGGACCATGGAAGCAGACATAATGAAAACCGAATCATGGGAAAGGAACAATTCTAGACTTATCCTTATGAGAACAAAAACAAAGCCAAACAAATAGCCCTGCAACACCTCATTCCCCCACAAACTTTCTAGACATCAGAGGTAGTCTTCAGCCTGAAGACTGAGCCAGACACATTAGAATGTTTGTATTACTTAACAAGAGAAGCTATGGCATCAATGTGTCTCCATAGCAATTCTCTTCCCTAGCAACATAAAAAACAAATGATCACAAGCTATACCCTTTTCTGAGAAAAAAAAAAAAAAAGTATTTGAAAGTTATCTTACCATTGACCAAGTTTAGAACCTACACCAAAATGTCAGATAAATCAGAACTTTGCCCCAGTTCTTCTTAAAATATTAAATCTCCATCTTCTCTCACACCCGTTCTACTTTCTCCTGTGTCTCTGTGTCAGTAGATGATACCCTCCTCCCAGTTGCCCAAATAAAACCGAAGAATCTTCCCCAATTCTTCCCTCTCGTATCCAATCTCTCCATTATCACTTTGTTGTTAACTGCTTCCAGTCCATTCTCCATACCACATATACCAAGAATGTACAGATCTGAATGTATCCTCTCTTAAAAGACAGATCTGAACTTATCCCATCTTTCTTAAAATCACAGCAGCACCTTACTATCACAAAACAGAATTTAATCATTTAAAAATTTTTTGATGAATATTTGTTTTATGTTCAAAATTGAAAGGACTCATGCTTCCACATTTCTAGTCAATCCCCAAATACCCACCTTTCTTTTCTCCTACAAAGATCAATTAAGTAGGACAAAATTTCTCTCACCACCCCAGACTCATCTTACCTGATCCATCTGAAATGCTTGACAGTTGCTAAACTTGTTATTATATAATAAAATCTTGGGATGAACTGTTAGAGTTAGCAGGTATATTGGCTACAATGCTGGTCTAATCCTCCTTTATATATTGGGAAGTGAAACTCAGACTTGTCCAAGATTGCACAGCAAGTTAGTAACAGAGCTGGAAGTAGGACAGAGATTGCATGATTCCCAGTCCAGTGCACCCAGACCCTATTATGCTGGGCCCCACATGCTTGACTCAGGATTATGAATGTTTTCCCTCTGGGACCCCGCTCTTTCTTTAGTCAGCATCATGCAATTTTTTTTTTAATTCATTTTGTGCCTCATAGACTCATAAGAGGATGCTATTTCTCTTGTTGCTCTTGTTAAGTGCTGTTGAGTCAGTTATACTCATAGCGACCCTTTGCAGAAACAGAAAACCTCATTTTTTCTCCTGCACTATTTCTCTAACTGAAGTTCAAATCTCTCATGTTGTCTCCTTCCTGACTTGCCACCTCATTGCTGCCATATATTTAAGTAGCAGGTTTTCAACCAAGTCCTGGTGTGGTACTATAAGACAAGCACTGGACTAGAGTCCTGGTGTGGCGCTGTGGGTTAATGTCTTGGACAGCAAAGTCAGTTTGAAGCTCAAGGTTGGTGGTTCAAGCTCACCAGCTGCTCTTTGGAACCCCTATACAGGGTCACTATGAGTAGGAATTGACTTGACAACACTTAACAACAATAACAGCAGCTCTCATAGATTGAGCTGAATATAATGGTTAGTTTTGAGTCCAAAACAATAATTCTTCCACAGTACCGGCAAGATCTAAGACTTTGCACACCAGAGTGACCGGTCATGTTGTCTGTAGCAATAATACTTCTGATGGGGTCTTGGTGTGGTGCTGTAGGATAAGCACTGGACTACTAATCTCAGGGTCGGTGGTTCAAACCCATCAGTTTCTCCTCAGAAATTTAGGTCTCTATGAGTCGGAACCAACTCAACAGCACTTAATAGCAACATAATTTATTCAAAGGAGACGTGGTGGAGCAACAATTATGCACTGGGCTGCTAACTGAAAGGTTGTCAGTTTGAATCCATCCAGTGGCTCCACTGTAGAAAGATCTGGTAATCAGCTCCTGTAAAAATTATAGCCTAGGAAACCCTATGTGGCAGTTCTACTCTATCACACATGGTGGCTATGAGTCAAAATAAAATAAAAAAAAACAGCACCTAATGACACCATTTATTAAGCATTCATAGCATCGCAGGCATTGTGTGCACTAAATACTTTACACTATCTCATTTAATTCTCAGAGTCAGCCTTGGATGTATGTACTGATTTTATCATCATCTCAAAGACCAGCAGCTATGATACAGAGATTCATCAACTTCTCACAAGTCAAACAAGCCATACATGAAGCCTGAATTTGAATTCAAACAATGTGGTACCAGAACACTTGAAGATAATCACAACAGTAGGCATTTCTCAGGTCTAAAGAAAATCTGGAAGGCAGCTTCCTGCTCCATCCTCACACGGCATTGTTGCTTAGCCTGTTTCCCACTGAGAATTTCCTTTGGAATGGCAAACCTGAACCTATTTTTTTCAACCTTATTCCCCACTTCCTCAAAGTCCTGCTACATAATCCCCTCATTCTAAGAGTTGGCAGGGATAATCTTTGCATTTTTTGGAGAAACTCCAGGTACTTACCAAAACACAGTTTCTCAAGAATTTAATTATCACAAGTGGTTATCGCAGGTCCTCCCTTTCTTTTCCACTTTAGTGATATGAACTAGAACATTCTAACTTATTTTTCTTTCTGATACTCAAGCACACTGAAAAATTATGTAGACATCTCTGATATAGCCAGAGCTCCAGGATACAGAAGCTACAGGTGATAAAATAGGGGAGATTATAAACGGAGCTAAAAGACATGTAAAGCAAATTTAGAATCACAGCAAGGTGTTATAAAACTTTAATTTTTCTCTGGAAAAATTAAATGATATATGTATATATAGTTGAAGTGTTTGATACAATAAAAGGCACAATGATATACATATCAACCTCAGTTTTTTGTCCTGGCACGATCACTAATTGGCTTAGAGATCAATTAGAACACTCAGTTTCAGTCTATAAAATGGAGGTCATAATCCCAACCTGGCAGACTTGCTTTGTAGATTAAATGAGATGATACATGTGAAAGTGGTATAGCAATAGTAAATTGCTCTATGTACATAGTGTGGGTTTGCTTCTGAAGGGTTTTCCAATATGCAAAAACTTAAAAATAATTTGTATTAGCCCTACTTATTCAATAACATAGACTTGCTGACAGTGAGTAACAGTTGTTGTTAATTACCCATCAGTCAATCCTGACTCATGACTACCCATTGCTAGCTGTTGCTAAGTGTCACTGAGTCAGTTCCGACTCATAGAGAGCCTGTATAGGGTTTCCAGGGAGCTTCTGGTGGGTTTGAATCACTGACCTTGAGGTTAGCAGTCTAATGCTGACTCAACAGCACCATATCAGGGCTTCCATTGGTAACTAGCCACTTATTATTCATCTCCAACTTCCATACACTTATTGTTCCATAATACTGCCTTTAATAACTGTGGTTTTAATAACACTAATTTCTTGTATTTGTTTAACTTTTTAACAGTTTACAAAACACTTATCTCATTGGATTCTCATGAGACATTTGGAGGTATTGCCCTGGTGTGGTGCTGTGGGTTAATGCGTTGGACTGCAAAGTTGGTTTGAACTGCAAGGTCAGCGTTTCAAGCTCATCAACTGCTCCTTGTATATCCTACAAAAGGTTGCTCTGGGTCAGAACTGACTTGACTGTACTTAACAACAACAACAACGATTATCAATTTATAAACTGTAAAATTGCTGCTGAAAGAATTGATGTGACTGGCACAAGGTCCTACAGGTAGAACAATCCACACTAAAAGGATAGAAAAATGAAGTGAGGGACAGAAGAGAGGTGCAAGTCTAGCATGCAACATGTAGTCCTCTGCATCATGTGTTGTTTTAAAAAGGTTCCTTCTCTACCGTAACAGAATTTAAAATAAAAGAGAATCTTCCAAAGTGTCTGAAATGGCCATGGCTATTGTTTTTAAAGATGATGACCAAGTTGTGGAGATAAAACCTTATTAAATAGGATGCCGTTTTGAATATCACTAAAGTGACTTTTAAAAACCACATTAAAGAAGTATGGACCTGTTCTCTCTGTTGCTTTGGGATAAAAAATAAAAAATTAGTACTATAAAATTTCATATTTCCCATCACATTATTTAAGGCATCCAAAAGTATCAGCCAAAGCAATTCAAATAGGACATGAGAGAAGTAAAATGAAGTGGGAAAAATTGGGGGGGGGGGAAGTAGAGTTTAAAGTGAAACAAGTGTAAATTATTGTGATTATAAAGGTTTAAATGTGACCTGCAGGGGACTGATGAATGAAAATGCTCTTATGTAAGGAGGCTTGGGCTTGGAGACCTGGTTCTAGCCCTACTTCTGCGAGGGACCTTGGAGAATACTAAAAGAGATAGATTATTAAACCTTTACTGGTGTCAAACTCAGTGCCAGAGTCTTGATATGGTTTAGCCCATTTAAGTCTCACAAAACATGAGAGAAAAGTACTATTACGACTACTCAAATATTATAAATGAGACATTTGAGGCTCAAAATATAAATGAATTACTCTAGGTCATGCAATTTAAGCAAGGACAGATGGGAATACCTTATTCTAAAGGCCATACTCCTTTCACCATCTAATCCAAACAATCAAACTTACCGCCGCAGACTTGATTCCAACTCACAGTGACAGAGTAGAACTGCTCCATAGGATTTCTGAAGCTGTAAGTCTTTACAAAAACAGGTGGCCTCATCTTTCTCCCATAGAGAGAGGCTGGTGGGTTTGAATCACCAACATTTTGATTAGCAGCCCATTGCTTAATCTACTGTACCACCAGGGTTCCTTCACCATCTAATTGTGC